ACGTGCCTTATGCATCTCCAAGGTCATTTATGAGAACTATAGGCACAAGTGCTACGAGGGCGCTCACAGCTAGTGTCTTAGCAAGTGCAATTGCTACTAGTGCAGGATGAACAAGCAAAGAAGAAGAGGGTTCAACCTTTAGGCTTGGCATACCAACCACCCAATCAACATAGCCTTGAAAGGGGTTGTGCTCTTCATCATCATCAAGCAAGATTGGAGGGAATGTAGGCATATTCTCTTCATCTAAACCCCACTTCACAATGAAAGTGGTCTTGAATGATGAACCTAAACTTTACCCATGTTCATCAATTTCCTCACCTTTGACGAAGGTGAGCTTTCCAATGGGGAAGTTAGGTCAACGCTGCAAAATGTTGCCATGTACTTCATTATATATGTCAATGGTATTGTTCATGGTAGTAATTGCAACAGCCTCTTGAAAAACTTCCGACTTCAGAAACCATTATACCCCTTAAGCTTGGGCAATGCTGATTAAGTTACAGAAAGCCCCTTTTAGCTCATTTAGCTTGACTTGGGCACCCTTTAGCGGTTGCCCGACCTCTGTAAACTTTTTTTTGAGATTGATGATGTTGCTTAGGGCTTTGTTCATTTCCTCATTGGCTTTTTTAGCCTCTTCCGCAGCATTTGTTACTTGGAGTTCAACATTCTTCCTTGGTTCAAAAATTTTTCTAGCTCCCTTTTGAGCTCGACTACTTAGTTAGCGAGTTCGTGAACTTTGCTCTCTACAACAATAGCTTGGTTGGCCATCTTGTGCTTTGCAAGCAATTCACCTTGTCTACCAAACTAGTTTTCATAGCAAGCAGGATTTTGAAGTCATTTGCCAACTTGCTACCAGCCTTGTGAATGGCCTGCTTACACTCATAGAGTGCCCTCACATAGTTGACACCTATGGTCCAAGTCATCATGTTAGTTCTCTTTACATAAGTATGAATATAAATAGAGATGATTAAATTTCACTTATATCCATCATCATGGCCATGACAACGTTGGTACCATTTTTCTGAAGGAACTTTTGCCCCTTTTTATGGTCAAGGAGAGGAATGAATTCACACACAACTTATATGCCTGCCCGTAGGATTCATTGTTTAGGTAGTTGAACTTTTCCTGATATGCAATTTTTGGTGTAACCCATTGCAAACGTGGAAGGCTTTTTTAGTCTTTGGTAGCAGCTACAACAGGTTTCTTCCCAAGTCGATGGCGGGAAGAAACAAACTCTCTTTCTATTTCCCCTTCTTATGCCCTCCTCCAAGATTGGTTGGTAATGGTTGCCTCCATGGGAGCTGTATCTTGTGTGCCAACTTGCCTATCAGTTATTCCTCTTTTAGCCAAGTTGGTGGTTGATTATTTTTCCTATTGAGACGAGTTGCATGTGGAAAGTTCGGGTGTAGTTCTATGGCTTATGGGCATGCTTGTAGGTGGCTTATGGGTGTGACCACCATTGCAATGGGTGTGGGTTCAATCACCCTCTCCAACCTTCTTGGTTACCCTTACCATCTTGTTCTTGTTTTGTCTTTGTTTCTTCATGAACCTTGAAAACCTATAAAACCAAACAAAAAATGGCAAGCAGGAGCACAACTGTAGATAGAAATGATTTAAATGCCTGGTGCAGTTGTTTTAATTTCCTTTTATCCTTTTTAATAGCTGGAATTACGTGTATGTCAGTGATAATACCTATGCCTCTTTGGTAGCTAGTTAAAATGTTTCATGTGGTGGTCATTCACTATTTTGATTTAAAGTGAAATGACCTCATTTGTCACATCCCATAAAATGCTGTGTCAACATTTAATGTGGGGGTAGTAGGGGAGATAAATTGGTCTAATGCTTTAGAAGATATGGTTTCAAATTTAAGATATAAATTTCAAATTTTCAAAATCTTTTGAAAGATGAGCTTGTAAAAGATAAGGTCTTAATTCAAATTTTAAATTTTAGAAGATCAGGCAAGATCGAGCTCATTAAGATGAGATATCAACAAGGCTCATAAAGAGAAGATCTTTATTGAACCCCTTGTTTGCCATTGTTAGCTTATCATTACCATTGCTAGTTTGTCATCGATTAACTCGTCAAGGCCAATATTGGGCACGTCGATGGCCATTGTGTTTAACTAGCTAAAACATTGAGAAGGGGAGTAATGTTGGGTGGTGGCCCAACATTTACCTAGGACCAACCATTAGGCCTAAGGACATAATAAAGGCCCAAATAATGGCTTCAGTAGTAGAAAACTTACCCACGTAACCCATGGCATGTGGGCCAATAAGGTGGTGACACACAGCATTTGATGTCATAAATGGAGCTATAAATAACCCCTCCAACCTCTGTCAAAGATAATAACTCTATTATACTTCTCTCTCTACAATATGTAGTTCCACGAGAACTTCTCTCTAGAACAATTGATTATTCCTAAGGACACTTCCTCAAGGTTTTTAGGTACTGGAACAATTCGAACATTCATTAGAAGGTTTGAGCTCATGAAGCATCCAAAACAAATTCTATCATTCCTAAGAAGATAACATTTTCTTCTATTATTTTACACCAACATGTAGAAGTAAAGTTCACAAGGAAGACTAGCTAATGACACATTAAAAGTTTATATAGACACATAAGATCCAAAAAAAAAACATACCACAAAAGCAAGTTTTAAACAATCTGCATGGCTTAAACTTAGACATGCTTAATTTCGAAAAGTTGACTCTAGAGATTTTGGAATTCATCTAGGCCACACATTTTGTAACTAACTTGCTTTATGTTTCTCTTTTTCATTTTTCTTTCTTCTATTTTTTCCTTGTGTGTGTGATACTGTTTTGTAAATGATTCTAGAGTAAAACTAAGCATATTAGAAATACAAGAGCTCTTTATAGGGAATCAATTTCCCTTTTCAAGCAATGAAGAACAATGCAATGTGCATACTCAATTTTTGGTGGCACGAACATCACATAAAATTTGATAACGTTGGGGAGACATCTTACCATCATATGCGTTAACACCATACAAAAGACTAGTTTAGTATTTACATGGGTCTTTGACATATTTTTGGTCTTCCACTTTTTTTTTTTTGACATACATAGATGGTCCATGGATATATTCATCTTGAGCACAACATCATGTATGAGTTTACATAATATATACTCTCACTTTTTATCAAGTCTAACCCATGACCAAAACACCACTTACTATATTTATAGCCATTGGTTCTAATACCATTTGTTTAGGAGACATCTGCCAAATGGAGGGACACATTCAAAGGCCCGCTACATTTTTTTTTTTTTTTTTGAAAGTTAGGAAATTTCGGAAAGGAGGGTTACATCATAAGAATTTAAATCATGTTGGTATCCATGGTGTAAGATGCACCTTACCATTGCAGCCATTGCTGTAGGTGCGGCCCATTACAAATGTTGATATCATATTTAAACCAAAAAAACTAGTCCAATAAATTTATGGGTAATGACATAATTAAGTTACTCTTCACAGCCTTTTTTTTTTTTTTTTTGTTCTTTTACAGTCACAAGGTAATAAATATTTAAACAAATAATTCTAAAATATCTCCCCGTGTTAATGTTCACCTAATAGACAAAATAAAGATAATGGCACATGTGATACTGCCGATGTGCATTACCCGAGCTTAGACGTTGCACAATCTGGAAGATCAATAACTAGGCTGCTCAGAAATGTTATTCAAATTTTAACCTTCCAGCAAAGTTACTCCAATTTCAACCTTACAGCAAAGTTATTAAGAAGCTTAGATGTTGTGCAATCTGCAAGATTCAAGCTGACAGAAAGACTGTTATACTCAATGCTGACAGAAAGATTCAAGAAAGATTGCAAACCAGGCCTACCAGCACGAAGAAAGTTGTAGATAGGAATGACTCGAGTACAAAGATTGCAACTCTCAATGCTGACAGAAATCCTTGCAATGGGTCATGGTATAAAATCCTGGAAATAAAAATTAGAACAGAAACAAAAATAAAATTTCTGTATTTTCAATTTGAAATACCAAAATTACAAAACAGGTATGAGAACTTACTGGCACCAGCTCCATTCCAGCTTCATTTCAGTCCTTCCCAGATTCCCAAATTGTTTGAATTTCAAACTTCAGCAGAAAAATGAGAGGGGTGTGGTTATGGTGACAGAAGAAAATGTCAAAACCACACAAACTATCTTTAGTTTGATTCTTATTTTATTAGTTTTTAAATTTTTTTAAAATAATTAATTATGATATTTAAAAATTTTTAAAATAATTAATTATGATATTTAAAAATATAAATCTATAAATATAAATTTATAAGTTAATTTTACTAATTAATAAATATTAATTATTTTATCAATTATTGTAAACTTAAGATTTTCATTGGTGGAGTACCGCTTCCGGAATCAGAGCTATATGTCAAATTTCCTGTGAATCAGAAGGCCTGCTCTCAACTTGATAAGAATGGGTGGGTTGGGCCGGAATGGGCCTGACCGATTAGAGCATAATGAGTATGAATTCATTCGAATGATTTGCTTGCAACTTGGTATTCATTGAGGTTGTTGTAAATTGTAATGGATTCGCCTCGAAAGGGACTGGGATGGGGTTAGCTACATATTTTATTTTGACAAAAACAGAACAAAACGTGCATAGATTCCTGAGGGGAGGTTTCCCAAGGTGGCGACCTAGGACTCCGGGCTCTGCTCATGCAGCCGGCAATATTTATTGGTTAAATACTAAATTTGGTCTCTTAACTTTAAGAAATGAATATTTTTGATCTCTCAACAATTTTTTGCACTTTTTTGATCCCTCAATTACAAGAAATGCACTCCGTTAGTCTTTCTGTTAATTTGAGCCGTTAACTCCGCTTATGTGGCATTTTTTATATTTTTTTTGATGATGTGGAGAGCAAAGTGATGATATGGACAAACATTTTGATATTTCATATTACCGTGTGCCAAATCATATTACCATGTGCCAAATTCATTTAAATGGGTCCTATCTCACTAATAAAAAAAAATATCTTTTGATGATATGATAAATTAAGTGATATTTTTTTATATTTTGTTAATAATATAACAAATTAAATTAAATATTTATTCGAATAAAAAATAATATCAAATCAAATTTTATTAATTAATCATTATTAAACTATAATTATTTATATTAATCAAAATTAAAATTCTAAATTAATTTATAATTAAATCATCATTTTCTCATCAAATTTTTTTTCTTTAACGGACATTATAATTTCTCAGGAACCAATCTCACCAACCAAACAAATTCAAAGCATTTTCTCAGCATCCAAACACCCTAATTCAAAGCATTTTCTCGGCATCCAAACACCAAAACTATACCATTTTCCAGCCAAACAAATGAAAACCCACTAAGAATTGCTTCTTTGCCCAACTGCTTCTTTTCTTTCCATTTCTATTTTGAACATATAACAAATATATAATGTTTTGAATAATCTCGCAAACCAACATGTAACAAAAAACAAAAAAGCAAAAAAGTGGAGCTGGGTTCACGGAACCCAGCAGACATAGAGGAAGAAGAGGAAGAAAGAAGAGGAAGAAAGAAAAAGAAAAAGAAGAAAGGAAGAAGATAATTGAAAGAGGGGAAGAAAATGGATCAAAAAGGGGAGAGAGGTAAATTTGTAATTTTTTATTTTTTTATTAAGGCAAAATTGGTTGATGAGTTGGCAGCGAGTTGGCACTAACGTGGCTTAAAAAAAAATTCCAGATCAACGTTTTTTAAAATTATTTTTGCCACGTCATAAAAAAATTATAAAAAATGCCACATAAGCGAGTTAATGGCCTGAATTAACAGAAGGACTAACGGAGTACATTTCGTATAGTCAAGGGATCAAAAAAGGGCAAAAAATTATTAAGGAACCAAAAATGTGCAACTCACTAAAATTAAAGAACCAAATTTAACATTTAACCATATTTATTTGCTAATTGTTCATCACATTATTGGCGCTACTTGCTACTTTTTCAATGGCTACAAGTACAAGGTACGCCTACACTGTTACTATGTCCTTTTTCTTCTCTAGATAATACCTGCTTGAATTGAAACTTTTGAGAATAGTTCACATGCTTCAGCCTCAAAATCAGGGATAGCTTAAGTTTTAAATTTCTGACCCTTAATACAATCCCCTTTATTTGTCACCTGCAAATTTACTGTTAGCTTTTGTTTTGTCCACTTTTTCCCTTTTTTTTTTTTTAATATTTTACTATCCATATTACACTCCACTACAAAATAGTAATTATTTAATCATTGAATCAATATAATTCTTTATCTACTTGTAAAGTTAGTATAATTTAAATTATAAAATATCATATTTTCTTGTTAATATTTTTAGATAGTGATAGATTTAGAGTATCAATGCATTTTGATTCTTTGAATAAATATGATCAACTCTATCTGCTCGCTCAAAATTAAATTATCTGGGTTGGGAGCTTGGCTTTTTGTTCATTCATGGAACAGGAATGAGAGAAAACTAATTCAGTTTCTAGGTAAAAAGAACAGAAAAATGAGCTAAAAATGTTTAGGTTAATGTATTTCCTAAGCTAGAATCTTAAGCATTAGTTATCCTTGTTAAGCAAGACATAACCCCAGCACATGCATTTTGGTTAACACTAAACAAGCAGATTAGGCCAGTAAGCCAACTCAGACACATAAATCACTGTAGCAACTAGTGGAATTTCAGGAGAGAAATGTAACCAAGATGATACCGGTGCTGATCCTTAATGTATCTGTTTCTCTTACAAGGGATTCAACACTAAAATTTAAAAGAAAATTAAAGATGGGTTCCATAATGTATATGGAGGAGTGCAGTTAGCAATGCAAATGCTTATGCCCTGTGGTTGGAAACCCAATAGCAACTTTATCAACCCTTATTGACAATATGATCAAATATGCTACTTCGATTAGCAAAGGACAGAGAGATGATGAATTTGTATGGAAATCTGGCTGTTATTAAGTGCAAGTTATGCTTTGCATTCAGAGGCCACTTGTCCAAAAGAAAGATAATGCTTATCTTGTTACTTGTGTAGCATAAAATGCTTTTGTTATACAATTATTGTGGCCATAGCTACCAGCTTGGGGAATGGGAAATCTCCGTGTTCTAGTCTTCGGGCTCTACCTAAACCTGAATTGGATAGGAAATGAACTTAACTACCACCACACTCTAGTTAGGACCCCTTGTCCCTTTAATCTCCATACTCACACCCCACAAACTTTAACACTAAATTATTGCAACTTGAACGTTAACCAGAGAGAAAAAGAGAGAGGAAGAAACAGTGCGACATTGTTATATGATGGTAAACACAATGTGGAAACTACTTTGATGAAGTTTTGAATTTAAATTCTCTTCATTGAGAAAAAGAATCAAAGTTGTTTGACTATCCTCGAAGAAGTGGCTCAATTGTCAAAATTGAACCCCACTCTTTGAGGAAAACAATGCAGGAACACATGGTGTTTCTGCTAGTGAGCAAACTAATAAAACATATTCAAATATGGAGGACCTAAAGGTCTAACGAAAGAACAGAACCCCGAGGTGGACGTGGTGGTGGTGTGTTTCCAAATCTTTAATGTTTCTTTTCTGTATTTATATCTCTGCCCTTCTCTTGCTTGCCTGTGAAGAAAATATACTAATTGGAATAGCTGCAATAGTAAAGTGAGTTTTAGATAAGCATGGGAGGCAGAGTGAGTGAGAGAGACCCAATGCAAAACCAACAATAGCGGTTTGGGATTTGAGGGAATTACCAATGACAATGCCATTGCCAAGACCGAGGCAGTCGTTCAACACCTACAGCCACCCCCATCCAATGCCAAAGCAATCCTTCAACACCCACCACCAGTACTATCGCCCATTGCTCCTCTTTCTGTTTGTAGTTTTTCTATCCTCTACTGTTTCTGCAGCAAATAATGAAGTCCTTGCACTACTTTCTTGGCTTCACAGCTCCCCTTCACCCCCTCCAGCACTCTCCAATTGGCATCCTTCCGATTCCAACCCGTGTAACTGGTCTTACATCACATGTTCTGAAAACGCTGTTACTGAAATTAACATCCAGTCTATTCAGCTTGCTCTTTCCTTCCCTTCCAATCTTTCTTCTCTTTCCACCCTTCAAAAACTTGTCATTTCTGGTGCTAATCTCAGTGGAACTATCCCACCTAATGTTGGGGACTGCACAAAACTGACTGTTATTGATGTCAGTTCAAACAGTCTTGTTGGTGGTATCCCTTCAAGTATTGGGAAGCTTCAAAATCTGCAGGATTTAATTTTGAACTCCAACCAGCTCACTGGAGAGGTACCAGTAGAGATTGGTGAATGCAGCAGCCTCAAGAATATCCTCATATTTGATAACTATTTAAGTGGGAATCTTCCAGTTGAACTCGGTGAACTGTCAAATTTGGAAGTCATCCGAGCAGGAGGAAACAAGGACATTTCAGGAAAAATCCCGGAGGAACTTGGAGATTGTGAGAACCTGAAGCTGTTGGGTCTTGCAGACACTAAAATTTCTGGTTCCATTCCAGCTTCACTTGGTAAGCTAAGCAAACTTCAGACTCTGTCCGTATATACTACTATGCTTTCTGGTGAGATTCTTCCGCATATAGGCAATTGTTCAGAGCTCGTGGAGTTGTATCTGTACAAGAATGATCTCTCAGGCTCACTACCTGAAGAGTTGGGCAAGCTAAAGAAGCTGGAGAAGTTGTTATTGTGGCAAAACAATTTTGATGGGAGTATTCCTGAGGAAATAGGAAACTGCAAAAGCTTGAAAATTGTTGATCTCTCCTTGAATTATTTGTCTGGAAGCATACCTCAGACATTTGGAAACCTCTCAAATCTTCAAGAGCTCATGCTTAGCAGCAACAACATTACTGGTACCATCCCACCAGTTCTCTCTGATGCCTCACAACTGATCCAGTTACAGGTTGACGCAAATCAATTATCAGGCTCAATTCCAGCTGAGTTGGGGAAGTTGAAGGAGCTTCAAGTTTTCTTTGCTTGGCAGAACAAACTTGAAGGAAGCATTCCATCAGCATTGGCTGGTTGCATGAGCCTCGAAGCTCTAGATTTGTCACACAATGCACTCACTGGAAGCTTGCCTCCTGGTTTATTTCAGCTTCAAAATTTAACAAAGCTTCTCTTAATTTCTAATGACATTTCAGGTGTCATACCTCCTGAGATTGGTAACTGTCGTTCCCTTATCAGGCTGCGGCTTGTTAACAATAGAATAAGTGGCGTAATACCTAAAGAGATAGGTTTCCTCAACAACCTAAGTTTCCTTGATCTATCTGAGAACCGACTTGGTGGGTCCATTCCAGACGAGATTGGCAATTGCGCTCAGTTGCAGATGTTGAACCTGAGCAATAATACACTTAAAGGTACTCTGCCAAACTCTTTATCTTCTCTTACTAGACTTCAGATATTAGATGTTTCAGTCAATCAACTTGAGGGTCAGATTCCAGAGAGTTTTGGTCAACTTCCTTCACTTAATAGACTTGTTCTTAGTGGAAACTCCTTCTCTGGAGAAATCCCTTCCTCACTTGGCCATTGTTTAAGCCTTCAATTGCTTGATCTTAGTAGCAATGCACTTTCTGGCACGATCCCAGCGGAACTATTTGACATCCAGGCTCTTGGCATTGCGTTAAACCTAAGTTGGAATTCATTATCTGGGGTAATTCCACCTCAAATATCTGCATTGACCAAGCTATCCATACTAGACCTTTCACACAATAAGCTTGAAGGCGACTTGGTAGCTATTTCTGGCCTTGATAACCTTGTTTCCTTGAATATCTCCTACAATAATTTCACTGGCTATCTCCCAGACAGCAAGTTGTTTCGACAGTTATCAGCAACAGAACTAGCGGGAAACAGCGGACTGTGTTCTAAAGGGCATGATTCATGTTTCCTGAGCAATGGTACAGCAATTGGTGTGGCAAGTAATAGAGGTTTCAAGCGGTCACAGATTAAAATAGCAATTTCATTGCTTATTACTCTGACCATTGCGTTGGCTATTTTAGGCGTTATTGCAGTTTTTGGAACTAGGAAAATGGTAGGGAATGATAATGAATCTGAGATGGGAGGGGATTCGTGGCCTTGGCAATTCACACCATTCCAGAAGTTAAATTTCTCAGTCGAACAAGTTTTGACATGTCTGGTGGAAGCCAATGTCATTGGAAAGGGTTGCTCGGGTATTGTTTATCGTGCGGAACTGGGAAATGGAGAAGTCATTGCTGTGAAGAAGCTCTGGCCAACAACAATGACAGCTGGATACGACTGTCACAATGAGAAAATTGGAATTGGTGGAGTCCGAGATTCCTTTTCTGCAGAGGTTAAAACCCTTGGTTCAATCCGTCACAAGAATATAGTTAGGTTCTTGGGTTGTTGCTGGAACAGAAACAAAAGATTGCTTATGTATGACTACATGCCTAATGGAAGTTTGGGTAGTCTTCTCCACGAGAGGAGTGGTAGTTGCTTAGAATGGGAGCTGAGGTATCGCATTATATTGGAAGCAGCTCAAGGTTTGGCTTATCTACACCATGATTGTGTTCCTCCCATTGTCCATAGAGACATCAAGACCAACAACATTCTCATTGGTCCCAACTTTGAGCCCTATATTGCTGATTTTGGTCTTGCCAAGCTTGTTGATAACAGAGATTTCGCTAGATCTTCCAGTACAGTTGCTGGTTCCTATGGTTACATTGCACCAGGTTAGTTCAGGATTCTTTTACATCAAAACTATTGGCGTCAACATATTTGATAACATTCATAGTACGATCTTCAAAATTCATGAAAACGTTACATGTATAGCTTTAATGTTAAAATTTTACTAGCACCTAGATATTAAGGACTCATACATACTTTTCTGGTTTTTTTTTTTTTTTTTTTTTTCCTCTTGGCTGTGGTTGCAGAGTATGGCTATAGGATGAAGATAACAGAGAAAAGTGATGTGTATAGCTATGGTGTTGTTGTCTTAGAAGTACTAACTGGAAAACAGCCAATTGATCCAACCATACCTGACGGGCGCCATGTTGTCGATTGGGTGAGACAGAAGAGAGGAGAAATTGAAGTGCTAGATCCCAGCTTGTGTGCTCGACCAGAATCTGAGATTGAGGAAATTTTGCAGACACTAGGTGTGGCTCTCCTCTGTGTGAACTCTTCGCCTGATGATCGACCCACCATGAAAGATGTAGCAGCAATGTTAAGTGAAATAAGGCAGGACAGAGAGGAATGCGTGAAAGTTGACAGGCTGCTCAATGGTTCTCCTTCTCCAGCAACTAATCATTCTCATCAAGAAAATGGCAACTACCCATCAGAAGTGATGCAGAGCTCATACCTGCAAAGCAGCAATTCAAGCTTTTCTGCATCTTCATTGCTAGACACTTCTTCCAATGCCAAACCAGCTTTTAAATAGTGATAAGGAAACATGTTATGCTTCTAAGTAACCGAGGTTTTAGTTTGGAGGAAACTTTTTCAAGTTTTCCCTTTCGAAATCGTACTACAGAGTCAGAACTCGGGTTTGTACATGTAAAATTTGGAATGAATAATAGGAAGCACCAAATGATAGATTTTATTTTGAGATGGACCAAAAAGATCAAGTAAGAAGGGTAAACATATTATGAAATGAGTTTTCTGTTTTGCGAAATTGCAAAAATGAAACTATTTGATGAGGGGGACAGCCCCCAATATGAGTGAGATTTTTCTTTCTAATAATTTATGTCATGTAATTTAATGTTATTGGGAATGCACAACACATTTTTTGTTATGAAATTCTAGGAGAGTCTAAAACATATGAATTTCTTTCACGATTTAGTTTTAGAATGGATCAGTTGATAAAGAAAAGCTTCATTAGATGGAAGAAATGGGATATTTCTGTAATGCCAAAAAGCCACCAGTTTTCGCATAAGATATAGTGACTATTCTTGAAGAAATAATTCATTACTTCTATCAATAAAAGAAAAAAAATTCCTTTGCTTCAATGTAAAACATATTCCATGCCATGCACGCATACGTATGCATGCGAGAAAAAAAGGGTAATCTATAAATAAATTAAAATATTTAAAAAATATTATAATTTGATTAGTTCAAATTTTTTCTCTCTTACTTCCCTTTCCTCCTCTATTCCCCCAGCTCAAATATAAGGAATGAAAAATTAAATGTCCAAAGAATGGAAAGGAACCCCTACAAGCCCTTAGGTAAAGTGGTTGAATACAGCCAACTTGTCCCAACTTTAAGGAAGTAGGATTTACTTAACAAATAACGAATTTTATTTCTATTTTTTTAAATTTTTTAAAATTTTAGATTATATAATGAAAAGTAATCATTTTTTATTTCTTAAATTTTTTTATACTAAATCTTTTTAGTATTTGAAAATCATATTAAATTTTAATTAATTTCAAATCGAGTTGATCAGATTTTATAAACAGAAAAACTCTTTCAATACTTATTTCTCTATTCATCAAATTTTAACTTAACATCTTGCTCAAAAGAACTAAATTACTTCGAGTCGAATCAATAAGTCATTAGTATTTACCATCCCCCAGTACACTTATACACATGCCATGGAATTCAAAGTTAAAATCTCTTATTTTCATTGGAAAGAGATTATTACTTAATTATTTAAATCATTGATAATTTTTCCTAAATTTTGTACTACTATTTCGTTATTGTAAGTTATACAATTATATTTATTTGTAGGCTACATAAAAAAAAAAAAAAGAGCAGAGGAAAAGAAATATTGTTCGACCTGTAAAAGAATAAATTGATGATTTATCCAATTATATAATTTGGATTCCTAAAACATTTACATTTGTTATAGACAAATTAGGATGAATTTACATGTGTAAGAATAAACAACTTTGCATGGGTCTATAATTCTCAATACAATTAATATATTGAGAAACTAACTATTAGATTAACTGATTTTGATGAGCTAAATTCGCTTTCACAAGAGTACCAGTTAGTTTAAGTAATATAATGATGAAAATAAAATATTGTCTTATAGAGACTGTATACTAATTAAAATACCAAAATTAATTAATTCTAATTTTATTTGATTAGTTAAAATTAAATGATTTGAATAAGGTAATTAACTAAAACAACTAAAAAAAAACTATATCGACTTTAAGTAACACTAAGAGTTAAAAATTTAAAGCATTCGATTTTACTATAATCAGTCAATATAGAATTTAAATTAATATACTTCCAAGATATTTATTATTCATGTAACAGCAGGATTTCTTATTTTATTTGATATACTTTCTTAAGTTATATTGAACCTATATTTTTTTTTATTAATCCACTATATCTCTATATGAATTGAAATAAATAAAGATGCATTATATTTTGTGAAATTTTCTAATTTATGTAAAAAATTAAGTCCACTTATTATTACTACTGCACGAATCATGTTAGTCCATCCCTGGTTTTTGTTTAATTCATGATATACATTACTAGAAGTTAGTGTATAAAATCTCTTCTCAATCGCAATTGTACTCTCTAAATCAGTTTTAATGATAGCTAATCATTGAAAAGTGTTAAGAATAATAATATATATATTCTACATAAAATAATAAACCTTGAAAATATAAAAATCATAAAATTCTATATCAAATTAATTAGCCTACATCGTAACCTTAGATGACTAAATTAATTAGTTCATAATTAAAGAAAAGAAAATCAACAATCCCATAATGAATATACAAGTACTTTTTTTTTTATTTTTTATGTAAAACAATGATTTTTTAGGATTGGGTTGGGTTTGAGTAATCAATGGGCTCAATTAGGTCTAGGTTTCTTAAATTGGGTAGTGTTGGACTCGGGTTTGGGTTTGGGTTTTGTCACGTCCTAAAATCGGGAGTAAAATAGATGCTGTACACTTGTGAGAGGGTTCTAAAAATGCATAAGACTCGAGAGCTACTTAATTCGTATCTAGCAGTTTACTAACTAAAATCCAAATCTCGAAATAAAATCTGGCTTTAATAATAACCAAGTTTTACTAGGCCAAGAGTGCACAAAAATTAATACAATTCTATGTCCAAAAATAATTTAACTAACGACATAACTCCAAAATAATCTAAATCCAAAAGACAAGTGACTAGCTTTCTAACTCATCACTCCCCTTGGTTTCTCACGTCCCTAATCTCACTACCTGAAATGGTGGACAAGGAAAAACTATGTGAAATAACTCAATAAGTAAAAATATGGATAACCCCTCATTAAAGTTTAAGCATGCCAAATAACAATTAAAACATAAACCACAGTAAAAATCTTAGATATAAACCGTTAATGTAGAGTAAAACTCAATAGTAGTCTTCTCAATAGTAGTCTTCTCAATTAGTCATCGCCAATGTTTAACAAACTCCCACTGGTAGGCATTAGGAATAACCAGTGTACCATCCCACTGGTAGGATTAATAGGAATAAATCGGTTTCCAAGAATACATGTTGACATGTGCCAGTGTTTACTACTCTCATTGGTAGGCTTCAAAATCATGACCACATTGGAGACAAAACCATGCAAGAGTTCAATAGGAAAATCCATAATTTACAAATATATAGAAGTTAACAGGAAGATCATCACTTTCAAACTAATTTCAAATTTCCAGAGCAAACAAGTAAACTTCAAGTAGGTATGCTCAAATCAATAAATGATAACAACTTCATTTTTAACTATTCATGCTTGTTTTTGTGTAAAATGGGTTTAGTTCCACTACCACTTAAAAAAAAAAAAAAAACAGTTCAACATTATGCTTTTAAAACACTTACCTTAAAATCGAAGGCATTTACCATAGTTTTACTTTCCTCACCTTGTAGGTATACAATAAGCAAAGAATTCAAAAACTTGAGGCTGTTGAGATGAATTTAAACCTATACCACATCAAATGAATAAATAGATTACAACATATTCCATTTAACTAATTTGGTTCTAAATTTCAAAATCAAATTCATAACCAAAGAACAACTTCCTCTTACACCTCTCGATCACCTATATGTTTAATCATCCTTAGAGTAGGCTTAAAATAGCTCCAAATATCACACACAACAATAGGTGCTCCAAGCAGATTTCTGGACAGAATAAAGTGTAGAAATAGTGAGAAATTAAGCTCTTAGTTATCCTAGACACAATAGAAATATTGGGCAATAAAGTGGGGATTTTTGCCATTTAAAGCAATCCAAAAATGCTTAGAAAAAGCCCTAAACAACAAGGATTTTATGGGAAAAATAGCAAATTCAAGCAAAAATGCAGCAACAAAAAGGTAGCCAAAATAAAGCAATAACAAGGGGTTTTAGAGTAGGAAAATAGCAACTAGAAGTCTAGAAAAACCATGATGCAATATGGTAGCAAATAATGTGGAAATTGAGCAGAAAATAGAATAAATTTCTGGGAAAGTTTTGGTCAAATTTTGAATTGGAAGTTTCAACAGAATTCACGCCTAGAAACTGACTGATCTAGGTTGAGTGATCAATAGATAAATTGTAGCCCTATGTCTTAGCATTTTAGAAGATCAAGAATTACCTTAATTCGACATCTACAAAGAAAGTTATAACCAAAACACTAACTTAGGGTTGAGTTGCCAGTTCTGTCCCCCTGTGGGAATCGAACTTAGAGTAGAGTTTTCACCATGAAAACAACTTAACTTGGTTAAATGTCCAACATAAAAATTGTAAGGCTATTTCTTAACTTTCTACAAAATCAATAATAAACTCAATCCGATCTCTACGGAAAGACTTCTAGGAAAAACACTACTACAAGGTCATGCTATCAAAATTTCTAGCAAAAAGAATTAGATCTGGTGGCACTAGGGTAAAACCCAAGAGGAAAACTATAGAAAAATCGCAAAATTGAAGACCCTAAAGGATTAGAGCTAACCCACTTCAAATCAAAGATGAAAAGATGAGCATATGACTGATTTCTTACCAAAAAGTGCTGGAAAATGGTGGCCTCTCTTGCGTTGTACAAAACCTGACACGAACTAGAAGATTAGAAGGACACCAGCAATAAGATTTGGGTTTTGATCATGATGTTGAGAACCATAAGCCTATTAATCTCTATATCTTGTTAGGAGAAGGAAGAAAAAGTTGAGTCTCACTTGTTTTTTCAACAAATAAAGGCTAAGCACAAACTAAGGATTGGAAAGGTAAAGTTTCTAGTGATGGGCTACAAAGTCATGAAAAAAGGCAAGGAGAGAGGAAAATCAGCTTAGCCCTTTTATCACCAGATTTACTCTTTTAACTCCCCTTAGGTTTGTAAATTTCACTCAATAAACTCAACAATAACAATTCCTATGCCACATCAAATAAATACTTAGAATAGGCTTAAAACAGCTCCAGATGTCACACTAAATAGTAGGTATTCCAAATAGATTTTTTGGACAGAATAAGGTGAAAAAATGGGAGAAACAAGGCTTAAAACCATCCTAGACACCAATAAAAATATTGGGTGGCAAAGTGGGGGGTTTTTGCCATTTAAAGTAGTCCCAAAATGTCTAGAAAAACACCTTGAACAGCAGGGATTTTTGGGTAGAAAGACAGTAGCAAAACAAGGTAGATTACCAGC